GCAGGGCAGGGCGGCGTGCGAGGTCAGGCGTGATCTGGATCAGCGACAGACCCGCAAGCACTGGCGCCTCAGTCTGCACCGCAACCACAGCCGTGTAAACAGACGCGTCCTGGTTCATGCGCAGCAGCACACCGTTCAAGCCTGTGCCTTTGTTGGCGGTGACGAGCGAGCCCACAGTCACGTTACCAACGAGCGCAACGTCGGGAGCCGCAAAGGCAATGTCGGCGATGAAGATGGTGTCATCAACGCCACCGTCGCCAGCGCGCGTGCGTGCGTCCACGGACACCTCCAAGGTGCAGCCCATGCTGCACACCGCAGACACCTCGATGCCTGCAATGAGGCGGACAACTCCGAGATTGGCCAAGTTGGCGTACAGCACGTCGTGCACGGAGAGCGCCGTGTCCCTGTTGAAGTCCAGTGTGTCAACAACCTCAGGGAACTGGCGAACATACGACAGGAACCGCTGCCCGCGTTCAGACTCGAAGGAGATGGTGGACTCCAGCAGGTATGCCAGCGCAAACGCAGCATCGTTCACGTTGAAGGCGCAATCGCCATTCACGTCACCCACGACGCGGCTTGTCGATGGGCATGGCACCACCTCCGTGCAGCCACTACCGTCCCCGAGCAGAACAAACTGCGCAGGCGTGCACGTGCTACGCCGTGTTCGCACATGCACGGCCGTCTTGGCGCTGGTATCGTGTTCGAGAGCAACAGCAGCAAGGGTGTCTGCGGCGCTTGCACTTGCGTCATCTGTGTCCACGACAGGCCAGTCAACCTGGCGACGGCGCCTGCCCGTGCCCGTGACCACGTCGACCGAGATGTTGGCGGCTGTGGCGAGGCGCGGCGTTGGCTCGCCAATCGGGGTACCAACACCATCGCCTTCGCCAAGAGACACCACGCGCACCTGCAGCGGCGACGCACCAAGCGCAACGCCGCGCAGGCGCACCGAGGCCAACGCAAGCGACGACGTGCCTTGAACATCCAGCACGCCGCTGAGAACAGCGCGGTTTGTGCGCCGCACCCACGCAAAGGCGCCGCCGGCATACGCGGGCGTGATGGCTTCCACATCCACAATCGCGTCATCAAGCAGAAGCTCAAGCTCAAAGCCACCAAACCGCCTGCCCTGCACGTTCACTCGCAGCTGCAGCGAGCGCGCTTCGCCCACGACCAGGGTGGGCGAGGGGTTGGTGGTGGTTGGGCCCAGATCCACGTCGCCAAGCTCTGGGACGAGGTTCGTGGCAAATGCGTACGATGCCTGAGCGCTTCCGCTCCCCTGTGCCGTGGTCGCGAGCAAGGTGACGCCACTCGCGCCGCTGTTGCCGAGCAGCACCACTTGTCCCGTCGCGCTGGAGACAGAGGCCGCATCCGTGTCGGAGACGGAGAGGGTAATCAGCCCCGGCACGAGTGGGCCTTCAGCAGGCACGAACGAGGGCATGACGGTGCCGTCGCCAAAGACGACGCGCATCTGCGCACGCGTGGAAGCTGCCCCAGCACGGCCCGCAAGCAGTGGACCACTGAGCAAGCGCAGGTTGGTGATGGACGTGACCTGAACCGATGACGTGGACACAAACACCGATACGGTGGAGGAGAGGCTGCCAAAGCCGACATCCACATCCATGAAGAAGCCGCCCTGTGTTGGCGTGATGACAGTGATGGGTGTGCGCTGCACGACAAAGGCTCCTTCCAGATCTGGTGGGTTGGGGGTCACAGACACATCCAACGACGAGTGCTGGGACACGTCGAGCGTGCTGCCATCTGACATGGAGAGCCAGGCGGTGATGGCGGCCTGCTGGTACTGCTGTGTTGCGCCCAGCTCAAACAGCGTCGTCTTCTCAACGGCACCGGACCCCGCGTAGGTCGGGAAGGGGCGCGGTGTCGCTGTCAGCTGCGTGGCAGAGACAACAGTGACGACGACAGCCTGCGACGTCACGCGAACGCCAGCGGCCGCAAACGACGCCTGCAGCTGCACCTCGCCCACGCTGGTTGGCGTGACCATGAGGCGGCCCGTGTCGCCATCGCGCGTGAAGCGCAGGTTCTGTGGCGGTTCCACGGTAATGTTGACATGTGGCGATGCAGTCAGGTCCAGCACCGTGCCGTCACTGAAGGTGACGTACACGGTGATAGCGCTCGTAGCGGGTACGCCAGCGAGGGCCGCTGTTGAGCCCACAGTTGCCAGGCGCGTGGCATCCAGCACAAGCTCTGCGCTCACGGCGTCTGGTAGCGCGAGAACCACGTCGGCAAAGGCGGTCATGACGGCATCAGGGGGAAGCGGCGTGCCGCACTCGGGCGAGAGGGCAACGCGCAGCAGTGGGCCTTCCTGAGGCGCAGCAAAGCCGGCGAGCGTCACATCAGTGCCGTTGACAGTCAAGCCCGTGTCTGCCGAGGCAGGGGTGACGGTGAGGAAGGTCGAATCGTAGAGGAACCACGACGTGCCGTCCGACAGCTGCACGGTGGCCAGCACACGCGCCTGTGCTCCAAGGCGGGTGAGCACTGGACGCAGTGGCGCGTGCAAAGTGGCCACGATGGCGTCACCGTTCTGGGCAAGTTCGTCATTGCTGAGACGCAGGCTGACGTTGGCTGGCTGGTAGGCAGCTGCATCCACGGAGAGCGCGCTCACCTGCGCAGTGCTCACCTCAATGCTCACCGTTGCCAGCAGGTCGCCAAACGTGTTCTGCAGCACGAGCGTGGCCTGCCCAGGCGCCGTGCCGGTCAGCGTGAAGCGCTCGCGGTCCACGCGCACGACGTTTGGATTGGTGACCTGCAGCCAGGGGGCGAGCATGGACGTGTAGTCGTACGTGTCGTCACGGATGGCAAACGGCGTTTGCTGATACACGGGAACGCACGTGCCACTGCCGTCGCTGGTGCGCTGTTTCAGGCCCTGGATGGCGCGCAGGGTCGGGTTGTCCACGGCAATGGTGAGCGGGAACTGCGGGTAGGTGATGGTCATGTTGAGCAGCGTTGCGCGGCCCGTGGCAGTCGACATCACGGCCACGGCAGCGCCTGGTGCACGCGTGCCTCGCGTCACCATCACCTCTGCGCACGACTGCGCGACGGAGAGGCCATCCGCTGTGATGGACGTGCACTCCAGGCCGAGGTCTGCCAGCGAGGGCGAGGATGATGTGGACGCCACAACGAGTGGTGGGGGTGTGCTGCGCGGGAAGGGGCGCGCAGTCCAGTGCTGCACAGCCACACGCTGCACTGGCATGTCGAGTTCGCTGCGGCTCAGCGTCTGGTGCGTGGCCAGCTGCGGCAGGTGCACAGTGGGCGTGTTGGCAGCAACAAACACGGTGCCGAGCGCACTGCTGCTGACGCGATCACGCAGGGTGATGGGCACAGGCACGTCCTCGCCGTTCACCTGCAGCGGGCGCCCCATTGAGTCGGCCAGCTCCACAGCCTCCACCACAACATCCGACGCGCTTGAGGCGCTTGCACCCGCGCGCACGGAGAGCTGCATCTCGAACAGGGGCGCCTGCCTCACCTCCACGCCGGCGTCCAGCGCGTCTGGGGTGAGGAGACCCGCAACAGCGGCTGTCCGGGCCATGGTGTCAATTACAGAGTCGCCAGACCAGCTGTCGCCAAGCACCGTGAGCTGCTCCACCTGCAGTGCGGCACCAACAAGCACGCGGAAGCGGTATTGCCCCAACGGCGCGGAGACGTTTGCCATCACCGTCACGCTGAAGGCTTCGCTCGGATAGACTGCATGTTCCGGCAGTTGTGCGTACAGCTCCAGCTGGGTAGGTACGCCCTCGCTCGCAGGTGCGTGGAGCACAACCTCGTCTGTGGCAGTGAGGGTGCCGATGGTGGCCACGAGGTGTGCTGGCTCCCCAACGTCGCCTGCTGCAATGGCAGCAAACACAGTCGCGGGCACATCGATCCAGCCCGTGCACGTCGCAGCACTCGCTGGCGCTGTCGTGCAAGTCGTGCACATGGACGGCGTGGGCACAGGCATTGTCCCGTCGAGGAAAAGGCACACCTCCACGGCCGTGGGCGCGGCATGTGGACCACCAAGGGCATCGCGTGCCTGCGTGGCGAACCGAATTGTGCCGTACGTCGAATACACATCGCGCTCCACAGCTTGCACGCGCACAGCAGCCAGCGCCGCAGCGCCGCTCCTGTACGCTGCGCTCACGGTTTCCTTGCCAACACGCATGGACACCTGGCCGGACGCACCAGGCGCGACGTTGATCGGCGAGGACACCGTGGCCAGGGGGGAGGAAGAGGAGGAAGAGCCATCGAAGGGCTGCGCGAGAAGGCGGCCAGCACCCGTGACCTCTGTCGACACCAGGAGGTCAACAGACCCAAAGGCGAAGGTGGAGCTGCTCGTGGTTGTGGTTGTGGTCGTGGTGCTTGTGGTGGTGACGGGTGTGATGATGGGGTCGCTCAGGGGCTGGGCAGTTGCCTGCTGGCCATATGCTTGCTTGAACGACATGTCCCACGTCCCGTTGCTGTTCAGGGTCATCAACGCATCCGATACGCGGCCTGCGTTCTGCTGGTCCGTCTGGATTTCAATCACCAGCACAAAGTCTTCGGGCACAGCGCGGCGTGCGCGTGCTTCCACGTACACGAACAAGTCGTCTGGAGAGATGTAAGGCAACAAGTCCAAAATGTCCTCTCGAACTTGCGTGATGTTGAACGAGGTCGAGTTAACACCGCCAACCAGCAGCGATTGAGACACCATCACACGCGACACCACGCTAGGCGTGGAAGTGGTGGTGGTGGTGGTGGTGGTGGTGGTGGTGGTGGTGGTGGTTGTTGTTGTTGTTGTTGTTGTTGTTGTTGTTGTTGTTGTTGTTGTTGTCGTCGTCGTCGTTGTTGTTGTTGTGGTTGTTGTGGTGGTGGTCGTTGTTGTTGAAGTTACTGGCTCCGTACCACTTCCCGTCGTTGTTGACGTGGACGTTGAGGTCGATGAAGACGATGACGACGAAGTTGATGTTGACGTCATGGTTGTGGATGTTGTCGTCGTCATGCTCGTTGTCGGTTCCATGCCACTCGAAGTGGAGGTGGAGGTTGAGGTGGAGGTTGAGGTTGAGGTTGAGGTGGAGGTGGAGGTTGAGGTTGAGGTGGAGGTGGAGGTTGAGGTTGAGGTGGAGGTGGAGGTTGAGGTGGAGGTGGAGGATGATGACGATGTTGTGGAGGAAGACGATGAAGACGATGACGACGAAGTTGATGTTGACGTCATGGTTGTGGATGTTGTCGTCGTCGTGCTCGTTGTCGGTTCCATGCCACTCGAGGTGGAGGTGGAGGTTGACGTTGAGGATGATGATGACGATGACGTTGTTGTGGAAGATGATGTGGAAGTGGAAGTGGATGTTGAGGAGGAAGACGATGAAGACGATGACGACGAAGTTGATGTTGACGTCATTGTCGTTGTCGTCGTCGTCATTGTGGTTGTTGTCGTCGTTGTTGGTTCCATGCCACTCTCCGTCGATGTGGAAGTCGACGTGGACGTGGACGTGGACGATGACGATGACGACGTTGTGGAAGATGATGTGGATGTGGAAGTGGATGTTGAGGAGGAAGACGACGTGCTCGACGAAGACGAAGACGATGAAGACGAAGACGTCGTTGTTGTTGTTGTTGTTGTTGTTGTTGTTGTTGTTGTTGTTGTTGTTGTTGTTGTTGTTGTTGTTGTCGTCGTCGTCGTGGACGTGGACGTTGACGATGATGACGTTGTGGAAGATGATGTGGATGTGGAAGTGGAAGTCACCGTTGTCGTCGTCGTCGTCGTTGTTGTTGGTTCCATGCCACTCTCAGTTGACGTCCAAGCCGAGGTCGAAGCGGTCGTCGTCGGTTCCATGCCACTCTCCGTCGACGTGGACGTGGACGTGGACGTGGACGTTGACGATGACGACGTTGTGGAAGATGATGTGGAAGTGGAAGTGGAAGTCACCGTTGTCGTGGTTGTTGTTGTTGTTGTTGTTGTTGTTGTTGTTGTTGTTGTTGTCGTTGCTGTCGTTGTCGTCGTCGTCGTTGTCGTTGTTGTTGTTGGTTCCATGCCACTCTCCGTCGATGTGGAACTCGACGTTGAAGTTGACGTGGATGATGTTGTGGAAGTCGATGTGGACGTCGAGGAAGAGCTGGTTGACGAAGACGAAGTCGACGTGGACGATGATGACGATGATGATGTTGATGACGTTGTGGAGGATGACGTGGATGTGGAGGGTGATGAAGATGAAGACGAAGACGAAGAAGACGAAGACAGCGTCGTCGTGCTCGTGCTTGTGCTCGTTGTAGTCATCGGCTCCGTACCACTTCCAGTCGTTGACGTCGTTGTCGTTGTTGTTGTGGGCTCGGTGCCACTTCCCGTGCTTGTCGACGTGGATGTTGAAGAGGATGTCGACGACATGGTTGTTGTGGATGTGCTGGTGGACGTGGATGTCATTGAAGAGGAAGTGGAGGAGGAAGAGGATGTGCTGGTGGACAGCGTTGTAGATGACGACGAAGATGTGGACGATGAAGAAGATGAGGACGTGGAAGAGGACGTCGAGGTTGACGTCGACGTGGATGTGGACGACACCGTTGTTGTGGATGTACTCGTCATGGGCTCGGTTCCACTTCCAGTCGATGTTGTGGTCATCGTCGTGGTCGAGGTTGGCTCAAAACCGCTCTCCGTGCTCGTGCTACTCATCGTCGTTGTCATCGTTGACGTGGAAGATGATGTTGATGAGGATGAAGACGTTGATGGCGATGAAGACGTTGAGGATGATGACGAAGTACTAGAGGACGTTGAGGAGGAAGATGAAGTGCTGGAAGACGAGGATGATGACGAAGAAGTGGATGAGGATGACGAGGTGGAAGTGGAAGTGGAGGTTGTCGTGCTCGTGGCAGACGACGACGATGAAGAGGTTGACGATGAAGAGATTGACGATGAAGAGGTTGACGAGGATGTTGAAGTGGAAGTGGAAGCAGACGTGGATGTGCTGCTACTGGAGGAGGAAGACGTGGACGATGCTGTCGTCTCCGCACCACTCATCTCTGTCGTGGTCGCGGTGGTCGTCGTCATTCTCGTGGTCGACCCCATCATGCCACTGCCAGTTGTCGACGTAGTGCTCACCGTCGTGCTTGCACCAGATCCATCCCCGCTTGTAAACGAAGTGGACGTTGACGTTGAGGTCGATGTGGATGTCGAACTGGAAGTGGATGTGGAAGTGGATGTGGAGGTTGACGTTGTGGAAGACGTGGATGTGGAGGTTGACGTTGAAGTGGATGTTGAGGTCGATGTGGATGTCGAGGTGGAGGTGGAGGATGAGCTAGAAGTGGTCGTGCTGCTGCTGGTCGATGAAGACGATGAAGACGACGAAGAGCTTGAGCTTGAGCTTGAGCTTGAGCTTGATGTGGAGGTGGAGGTGGAGGTGGAGGTGGAGGTGGACGTGGAGGTGGAGGTGGAGGTGGACGTGCTGGTGCTGGTGCTACTGCTGGTGCTGGTGCTGGTGCTACTGCTGGTGCTACTGCTGGTGCTGGTGCTGGTGCTACTGCTGGTGCTGGTGCTGGTGCTGGTGCTACTGCTGGTGCTGATGCTGGTGCTGGTGCTGGTGCTCGTGGAAGTGGATGACGAGCTCGATGTCGACGAAGAGGACGACGTACTGGTACTGGTGCTGGTGCTGGTGCTGGTGCTGGTACTTGTGGACGTGCGTGCTTGCATGCACATGCTGTTCACCGTTGGCGACAGCAGCGCAGGGACGTCAACGTCTGCGTCGTTCAACACCAGCTGTGCACTTGCACCAGCCGATGTCTCCACAGTCACGTTGAGCGGTGGCACGGATGTAGAGCAGCAAAGTGGATCAGAGCCCGACAACAACACGCGGCGGTTGACGTCGATGAACGAAGCACTGCCGTCATCCGTCACAATCCACGCCACAACCTGGGTTGTGAATGGCGCATCCGTCTCTACAATCGCCTCATACACCGCGCCCACATCCTCGCCTGGCGCGAACGTTGCCGCGGCAGAGACAAGCAAGTGCGTGTCGTCAACCAGCCAGAGTTGCCGCCCCTCAAGCAGGAGCGGCGGACGCACGGATGCCCGTTCCTGCATATCCACGGCAAAGAAGACATAGGTGTTGGCGGCACTTGTAGCAGGCAGCGCCGGCAGCGGAAGGCTGAGCGACAGCCCGCACTCGTTCTCATCAAAGGATGTTGCGGCTTTGCCAACAAACGGCAGGAGGCCAAAGTTGATGCGCAGCAAGAGCGAAGAGTCGCGTGCGTCAATCACACCGTTGCGATCAACGTCCATCTCCCGCAGCTGCGCGTCCAGCAGCATGGCGCGCGTGCCTTCCTCGTCGAGGGCCAGATCGGCAAGAATGGCCTGCAGGTACGACACATCCTTGATGCTGAACACGCAGTCCGCATTCGTGTCGCCAAGCACAATCTCGGAGCAGTTGCAAGGCGGGTTACTACACGGTGTCGCCTCCCTGCGTGTACGGCCCGCAGCGGCCGCAGCAGCAGGGGTGGCAGGGGTGGCAGTGGTGGTGACTGGGGCGGAAACATCGCCAGCATCGCCGCTGGCCAGTCGGCCGGCCACAATCGCGCGCGGTGTGGCGCCGCCAATGTCAGCGCCTCGCAGCGTCGCTAGCGTCTGCACAACGCCACCAAGGTCCAGTGGCAGCGTGTCATCCAGCACCTCAAACGCAATCACGGCCACCTGTGCACGCGGGCCGGAGAACGGGTCCGAGATGCCACCAACGGCAACAACCCCTGGCGGGTCGTTGAGCCGCTGCACAAGCTGTCCGGAGAAGTCTGCACCTGCAGTTGCGCTCACGGCGCGCAGGGCTGACGGGTTGTATGTCACATGCAGATCAACGAGCGCAGCAGCACGCGCGCCCGTGTTCACCCACACAGGCACAGCCACCGTGGTGCCTGATTTCACCAGCGGAGGTCCGCACAGCTCGCCGAGGTCCACATCCCCCACAGCCGGCAGTGCGTTGGGCAGAACGTGCACCGTCGTGTTAATAGTTGTCGCAGACGAGAGGGCGACATGCAGCTGCACAGGCGTCAGACTCGATTGCAGCAGCACAGCGCTGCCGTCCGCTGTCACCTCCACCACATCGGGTGCTGATGACGCGAACGCAAACGCGGCCGCGTCCATCGCCAGGTCCTCCGCACCTGCAGCTGTTGTGCCGTCGGCAAAGCCCAGGGCAAACGTTAGCGGCACAGCGGTGCCTGTCACGCGACAGAGCGGTGTGACGACCACCTCATCGCCGCCGTTGCCGCCGTTGCCGCCATGGTCGAGGCCGGGCTCAACGTTGTTGCCGACCGTCGCAACATCAATCGTCTCAACTGGGAGTGCGGTGCTGGACACGGACAGCAGCAGCCGCGATGATGTCACCGCTTCGTCGGCGAACGAGGCAAACACGTCCACGTCGCCTTGCAAGCCACTGCTCTGCGTCACCACAAACACGCCAGCCTCCAGGACAAGCTCCACGGTGTTGCTGGGGGCGGTGGTGCCACCAACGACGGCGCGCAGCGTTGTGAACGAGGACGCGGACACGTCAACGGCAGTGCCATCTGTCAGCAGCAGCTGCACAGACACGCGCAGCGACCGATCCGCAGCGAGTGCCTGCAGCGGGCCAATGTGAACGCGCGATGTTGAAGAAGACGCATCAGGCACAGCGCTGCCGCCTGGGCTGAGCTCGGCGTCCAGCAGCAAGGCGGCGGCACGGACGAACGTCACGGGCGCGCGCTGCTCCATGTTGTCAAAGTTGGTCAGCGTCACCGCAATCTCGAACGAGCCCGCAGCGGCGTTGCTGGTCGTGGCCAGCGTGAGCACGTCGTTTCCAGTCAGAAGAACGCTGCCTGCTGGAACCTGCACGTCCACACCAGGCGCAAACGTGGCGTCCTGTTGTGTGCCATCTGCAAAGTGAAGGATCACACGCACGCGCGTGCGGGTCGGAATGCCCACGTCGCTCGCAGCGGCGGCGTTGCCGCTCACAGCAAGACGTGGCGCGCCCAGCAGCACCTCCACCTGTGTTGGCACTGCAGGTGTGGTGCGCACGTGCAGCGGGACGGTGCCTGCAACGGCGCCGTCACACAGCGACAGCACAGACACGTTGGCCACGGGGCCGGACGGCGATGTCAGGCCCTCAACAAGCAGCGTGCTGCCGTCAACGAGGCTCACGACATCCTGGCTCGCGTCGTACAGTTCCGTCACCACGCCCAGCACACCAGACAGGTCTGTTGGCTCCGGATCAACCATGCTGCTGCTGGCCGTTGTGTTGGCGTTCTCGCTGGCGATGCCAACAGCGAGGATGTTGACATTCTGCGGGAAGCGGGTGACGCGGTTGCCGTATGTTGCAGTCGCAAAACGCCGTGTGGGCTCCAGCTCCTCGGGCACAGAGGCAGCAACAGCTGTTGGCGAGGATGAGGATGATGAGGAGGAGGCGAGCGTAAGGTCAACGATGGGGCGCGCAAACACCTGCAGCTGTGCCGCTTCCGATTGCACCTCAAGGGCAACAGCGCCGATGAAGGAGCCAGATGCCGTCTGCACGAGGAAAAGCACAATGCCTGGCTGGTGCGCACGCACGCGAACAGCTGTGCCACGGCCGGGCGATGAGGGGTCAAGGGACGCGGTGGCTGGATCGCTGGATGTGATGCCAGACAGCAGCAGCCGCGTCGCGTCCACGCGCACAGTGGGCGGCGCTGTCTGCGACGATGGAGAGCCAAGCGCAAGCGCGATGCTCACGTCCAGGAACACGTCCTCATACACGGGCTGGCAGTTGTGGTCGCGGAGGCCGGCGAGCGGGCGCGTGGTTGGGCGTGACAGAGACGCTGTGGTCGTCGACGCCAGGGGAAACCACACACGCACATCCACGGATGCAGAAACGGCCGTGCCAGACACACGCACCGTCACAGACACCCGTGATTGACCCTCAATCTCCGTGCCCAGCAGCACCACAGCAGTGCAGTCCGCCGCAACGCGCACAACGCTCTGCTTGCCACTCTCACATGCAAGTGCTGTGGTTGACGGCGACACGGGCGCGATGGTGCCTCGTGCATCCGCCGACCACAGCGCGAGCGCACTTGAAACAGTGTTGCCGTCCAGTCTTGCCGTGTTGATGAGCTCCGCTTGCGCCAAGTGCGGAAGAAGCGCAACAAGCGTGTTGGCTGCGACGGGAACATACCCAATGCTCTTGGAGGCGAGCACGCCGCGGTTGCGATGCAGGTGCAGTGCCGGGCTGGGCAGTGGGTAGAAGCCCTCCAGCTGCAGGTTGCGGCCCTGTAGGTCAACAAAGCCCACCGCCGTTGCCTGCAGCTCAGAGAAGCGGCCCTCCACGGCCTGTGGCATCACTTCCATCTCAACCGTGCACAGCACCTCGGGGTTGGCGTAGCTGCCGCTGCCACCGCCACCCGACTGCTGCTGCACCTGGCGCTGCAAGCTGATGGCGAGGGTGGTGTTGCCGCTGGTCGATGTGCGGGCGGACCAGCCAGGCGCCGCAACCACGCGCGCGAAGCGAAGCGCGTCAGAGTCAATCATGTCCATGCGCAGCACAACGGCAGACACACCGCGGTCGGCTTGCGCATACACGGCCAGCTGTGTCGTATCCTCGCGATACACAGGTGCAAACGGCACCAGCACAGCCACCGTGTTGCGCACCCTCGCTGCAATGGCGGGGCGTGACGCAAGCTGCAGCTGTCCTGGCAGCTCTTGCATGAACGCAGAGGCAGAAAGAGAAGCGCCAATGCCGTACGCGACCGTGACTGCGCGCATGGCAGCCGGTGTGCCGTCGCTGTTCTCAAGGGGGAACCATGACTGAGGCACACTTGTCCACGCAATGCAGCCTGAAGAAGCAGCGCTCGTCTCACACCACGCCTGTACGCTCACGTCCTCCTTGGTGCCGTCACCATCGGTGTCCACACGTGCGCTGAGCGTGATGCTGACGGTGGTGGCAGCAGTGCGCATGTTGAAGCTGGCGTCGCGCGCTTGCAGGTGCACCCGCACGTGCGGAGCGTCAAACCACACCGTGCTGGCAGACAGCAGCGTCGCCACCGCGTCGTGCGCGGGCTGGCGAGGAACATCAACGTCTTCCTCCGCTTGCAATGATGCCCACGCAGCGCTCAGCCGCGTCGTCACCGTGTCAGTGGTCGCACTGTCGGTGATGACCTCTGGGTTGGTGCCTGGCAGCAGCAGGTACGGCTGCGTGAAGGCGACAGAGGACACGCGAACGGGCTGCTGCTGGAACAGCGCCGAGTGCTCGACCTGCATCTGTGGCACGGGATACACGCTGGAGATGTTGCAGGTTGGGCCCTCAAACTCCACTGGGCACGCGCACATGTAGTGGCGCGCCTGCGTGTCCTGCACGCACGTGCCGCCGTTGGCGCAGAACGCATCCGAGCCCTCGTTGCAGTCGCACACGTCACCGATGCCGTTGCTGTCGCTGTCGCGCTGCTGCGGGTTGAACACGCGCGGGCAGTTGTCCTTGTCGTCAAACACGCCATCGCCATCTGTGTCTGCGCGCTCGGCGGGGCAGTCATCACGAGCCAGCATCACGTCTGGGAACTCCTCGCTGTCGCTGTTCACTTCCAGCGAAGCAATGTTCTCCAGCAGGAACGGGCCAATGAAACACAGGTTTGAGTTGTTGGCAATCACCCACGAGCCACCGTACGACTGCAGGCTCGCCAGTGCATCCACGTCCAGCAAGACGGTGTTGTCGCGAACGAGGATGTCACCGTCCACGCGCGCAAGGTTGGACGGTTCATCCAGGGTCATCAGGCGCAGGTTGTTGCGCACAATCACATCGCCTGCAATCTGCAGTACTGCAGCCAGGCCGTTGACGCGAAGCAGGTAGTCGTTATTCTCCAACACGAATGACCCTTGCAGCCACATGGGCAGGTTCACCGCTTCCAGCGACACGAGACTCGAATGGCGAATAATCACGCTGCCACACGTGCTCGGCTCCAGGCCCTGCAAGGTGGAAGGACCAGCACCAGCCACCACCAATTCGCCACCGATGGTGGTGAGCGCAGAGAGGCCGGACACGGTGCGCAGCTGCGCGTTGTTCTCAAGCACGAGGCCACCAACCCATGTCAGGTTTGCAAGGCCACGCAAAGACACAAGGTGGTCGTTGTTGCGCAGCGCAAGCACGCCCGCGACACGCTGCAGGTTTGAGAGCGAAGCGAGGTGGGCGGTGGTGGCGTTTGCTGTATCATCAGCCGTGGCGTTCGCAGGTGCAGCCGTAATGGAGATGGTGACGTTGCTATGGAAGACACGACACTCTGCAAGCAGGGCCAGGTCTTCGTATGTTGTCACGGTGGCAGTGGCGCCCGCTTGGTCGAGGAAACAGTCGCGTGCAAACTGGCATCTCTCACCCGAGAACCCGGGTGGGCATTGGCAATAGAAGCCAGCCACGCGGTCCTCACACAGACCACCGTTGAGGCAGGGCTCGGCCAGGCAGTCGTCAGCATCTATGCAGGACGCGGTGCTGGAGACCATGCCATTGTCCTGGCACACCTCCGTGAACGTGGTGGGGCCGTCCACGAGTCCGTTGGTCGTGTATCCTTGCAAGCAGGCCACGCTCACTTGCTCCATGAACGCGAGCTGCTGCGATGCGTCGTCGCCATCAACAAGGCTGCCGTTGACGACCAGGGCCGCGTTGGGCGGCGGCACAGCCGTGCACATCACGGGCTCGTCACATACATCGCCACGGAAGCCGGTGCCTGTGCAGTTGCACGTGTACTCGTTGATGCCGTCCACGCAAACGCCGGGGCCGCAGGGCTCCGCCTGCTGTGCGCACTCATCCACGTTGATCTCGCACCGCTGGCCATCGTACCCGGGTGGGCACATGCACTCGAATCCTTCACCAGGAATATCGACACAGTCCCCGCCGTTGAAGCAGCGCGTTGCGTCGCAGTCAACCTCATCAATCACCCGCACTGTCAGCGTCTGCGTGAGTGTCGCGGGCGGGCTCACCGCGGTGTCCTCCACGCGGATGGTGATGTTGTGGGACCGCTGCGTCTCGTAGTCCAGCCGCCGTGACAGCACGAGCGAAGTACCAAACACGAAGAAGGGAGGATCGCCAGCAGAAAGCGCCACAAAGCGGTGGAAGCGCGCAGCGTCAGCATCCTCATCCTCAGCCCACACATGTGCAACTGTGCTCCCGACGGAAGCAAACTCGCTCACAGCGGTCGGGCTCAGCGCGATGCGCGTGGGCGGGTCGTTGGCGTTGGTGACGGTGAGAGTGAAGGTGGTCGTCGTCTCACGTTGCGGCACGCCGCTGTCCACACAGCGGATGGTCACAGAGGCCGTTTGCGCCTCCTCAAAGTTGAGCGGCTCAGCTCCCGCACGCAGGACAACCTCGCTTCCGTTGGCCATGGATGACGACGATGACGCTGAGGAGTCGATG